AAAAACAGTCCTAAAGGGATTATCTCCTCTTCCATAAAAAAGAAAACTCAGGCTTCAAAATAATTATGAAACTTGCACCCAAGTCCAGGCAACTAACATAAGAAGTGAAGTATTAACAAAATTGAAACAGGGGTCTATCTAGCTCCAAACCTGCGTTCTTTCTTCTATAACTTTTTAGTGACATTATTAAATGTATTGGTTCTCCAGTGGTAATTTACCTTCTACTTTAAACAAACAAAAGCAAATTACATTACTCATTTAAGGAAAATACACCATTACTTACTAGAAGGCCAATTATTAAATACAATTCAAGTCCTATTACTTAACACAAAATGATTAATGATGTAGATATTTCTGAACCTTGAATTTCTCAATGCTTAGGAAATCATTTTTTTTCTACCAACAACTTTGTTGGTAGAAATGGAAGTCCATTCTATGCAATTTGCCATTTCCTTCCTGTATGCTTTAAAAGAAAATAATTTACTTAAATATGAGATTCTACAATCATATTTTAGTTACAATGATCAAAGACACATCCTAGATGTTTTTCTATAGATGTCTACTTTTATAAAATGCTTGTAAGTCATGCAATAGTTTTAGGTATAATTCAATTACAGAACAACAGATGGACAGAAGGTAAGAAGAATATATACTTTGTGAAAAGACAGAAAGATAAATGAACCAATAATAAGAGAGACTGATGGTGGCACACAGGTTCCAAATGCCAAAGAAAAGTAAGTAGTATTCTGACTAGAAACTAATAAACCACTTACAAGTTAGCTTTGGCTAGGTTTGATAGAAAAACCACAAGAATCATGGCTATAAGAGGTAAAAGCTAATTCAATTCAAAAATAAAGAGGACATCTGCTTTTCACTGAAATTCAGCAAAAGATTTTTAAAATATTTGCTAGCCTCCAATAAACTACATGTAAAGATTCAATTAACATTAGCAATTCCAGAAGCACTTTTTCATCTCAAATTTCAGATGAGTATAATGATTTAGAATCATGCTTACTTTTTAAGGTTAACAGAAAATGGTTTTAAAACAATTCATATTTAAATTGAGATAAAACCTAAATGAAAAAAAAACACTCTGTACATAAATATACATTAAATATAATATCCTAAAATAATAAAACTGAAAATAATATTGAAGAAACCATAACATTGAAAGGTGTTTGTCTAAAGCTTCCTCAAGCTCTGTGATCAATTGGTAAGAAATATTTAAAATAAAGCAGACTTAATATTTAATTTGAGTAGGCACAGTAATCTTTTTTAATCTTTCTTAGGGAACACTGACCCCTAAAGGTTCTAAACTTAAATATGTTTTACAATATTCTAAATTTAACAGGCACCCAGACCTCATTTTTACCTAGATTAGTGTAGGTATGTATAGATATGACATACACACTTATTCATAAATAATATGAAAGCTATTTCCAATGGACTGTATATTACAAAACAACTAAATTATGTTTCTGCTAATTTAATAAAAACCACCAAAATTGAATATAAAAAATACCTAGAAATTTTTTATACTTTTCCAATTAATTACTCATAGGAGATTTTGACACCATGTCTTTTTTCTTATACAGTTAAGTAACTAATAAGTAAATGTTAAAAAGAGTTAACCAATGACATAACAAATCATTCTTTCTGAAGGCTGACTTTACATACATACCTTGATTTTGATCTTTTGTGTGTGTGTGTGTGTGTGTGTGTGTGTGTGTGTGTGTGTTTCTTAAAAAAGCAGGGGGAAAAAGGAATCTTGAAAAAAGAAGTTTTTGTGAAAGGGTAAAACATCCTTTACTTCTTAAGAAGCCAGAAGATGTTACTGTTCACTGGGCAACACACATTTATTCCCTCACGTATTGCTTCCATCAGCTGAAAATTTCTTTCATTCAGGTTTGATCTTTTAACCACTTAAAGAACCATTTTTAACCACTCTATAGAATATGGAAAATAAGAATAAAAAGTAACAAATATAAATAAAAGTAAGTAATCTAAATATATTAATAAATGAATAAAAACACCTATAAAACATTAGTTTCCAGATCCAGAAAATTTTATATATATTATTTTATAATATAAATAACATTATATCTAAATAAATATTCTAAATATAAATATATTAAAATTATATTCTAAATATAAAATATATAAAATATAAAATTTGTAATATAAATAACATTTTGTAGATGTCATCACCCCTTCCACCTACAAACCTTAGCTTTACATTTTCCAAACTACCTATAATGCAAAGAAAAATATGAATAGTTATACCTATTAATATTGTATATTTCATACATTCTTTGACTTAAATATTCAGCAATGTTTCTGCAATAAAGCTAGGAAAAGAATAACCACTTTAGCACTTCTTATAATGAATCTGCAAAATGACACAAAAGTAAATCTGCATAATTCAAGTTGTTAATTAGCTCAATTTAAAAAAATAAGTAAAATAACATTAAATGAAGTAACTACTAGTATTTGAGAGTATACTATGAACATTTGTGTACGAGAGTTTTAAAGTAATCTATGCTTTATGATAAATTCCATGAACTGTGATATCAAAGAAATGACTATGTAGACTGGTTTAAATGTATCAGTTATCACTAAACTCAAAATATATTATGTTTACCTGTTTAATTTTATTTCTTAATAATGTTTTTAATAGGATTCTCTAATTCCTATTTCCAATGTCAAAAACATGCCTGTAAAAATGGAAATTTTCTTATTACTGTTTTAGTCACAACTGTTGTATGTTTCCTGCAAACTATCTAAATTATTACTATCAATATTCAGCCATGTCTTTAGCCTGAAAACCTTCCTTTTTATTAGCATCCTAGAACTTCAGCAGCTCCATTCCTCTGCATCTTTCTTGCTTGTTCCACATTTATTATTATTGATTTCAGAGAGGAAGGGAGTGGGATAGAGAGATAGAAACATCAATGATGAGCGAGAATAATTGATTGTCTGCCTCCTGCATGCCCCACACTGGGGATCGAGCCCACAACCCAAGCATGTGCCCTGGTTCATAGGTCAACGCAACCACTGAGCCACTCTGACCATACCACATTTATGAGAAGAATTTCCTCCATAGCTTCCAGCTCTTTTTATATATTAAATAGAATTCCTTTGGCTTAAAGATTTGTTTGTCTATAACTTACACAACATATTTTTCACAGAAATATGACCTCTGAATAGAAAATATAAGAAACAGGGGCCATCATTATTTATTTACTTCCTCTTTTCTTATTTTGTACATAAATCGAAACTGCTCTGAGCTCTTTAAAAGAGGGCTGTTTGCTTGTTTATTTGCATAAATGAATAAAAACACCTATAAAACATTAGTTTCCAGATCCAGATCTATGTAGCATTAACACAAACTTACATAAAAAGAGTACATCAAAATTGTCACAAAGTTCATACACTAAAACATTTAAACTTTATATTGAAAACCTTTAACTATCCTATTTGATATGACTTTATGCTCAATTCAGTTATCTGGATTCTAAACTATCCTATTTGATATGACTTTATGCTTAATTCAGTTATCTGGATTCTAAACTCTTAATAAGCAGCCTAAAATCACAAATAAGAGAAAAGTTGCTAATGGAAGGCAGAAACCACAGGAAAATTTATAACAGTATGTAAGAAAAAACAAATGCAGAAGTCAGGAAAAGGGAGACTCAGAAAGCACAGACCATTCTATTCCTGAAATAACTGTGTAGCTATTAACTTATTTAGTAAAATGGTGATAGAACCATCACTCCAAATGGCCTTCAACCTTCTGAAAAAGGTAAGTTCACACATGGAAAAAAGGAGCCCTGTTGGGGAAGAGGAATCCAAAAGGAAGAGAGAAATGTGTACTGTGTTGGTAATAATCTTATTTTTAAATTACAAAATTGTTAGAGAAAATAAAAATGATGGACATAATATTTTAGCTTTCAGTTATATGTGATACTATAGTCATAATGGTCTATTTCTCAAGAATTCCAGATTTGCAACTTTTTACTGTAAGAGACTTCAATTAAACATCTAACTTTTTTTTTTTAAACCTCCCTCTTTATGGCTCTATTGATAGTCAGATGTGCCCATTCTCTTCATCTCTCTTTATCAGGCCATCTCTCAGTATGTCTTTCAAATTGCGTTTCTGTCCTGGCTGTTCTGTCCCTCTGCTTGTACAGATGTGTGTATCTTTCTCTCTCTCCTGTCTCTGTCGCTGTCTTGGGGTGTCTTTCTCTGTCTCCAGCTGCACATCTCTGTTGCTCAGACTCTCTCCGGCCCCCTCTGACACCATCTCTCTTAGGTGTGTCTGTATGTATGCCTATGCCTCTATCTCTCTCAGTGTCCGTCCTCTTCTCTCTCTCTCTCTCTCTCTCTCTCTCTCTCTCTCTCTCTCTCTCTCTCTCTCTCTCTCTCTTTCTCTCTCTTTCTCTCTCTCTCTGTCTGTCTGTCTCTCTCTCTGTGTCTATTTTATGTCTCTCTTTTTCACTGTGTTTCTCTTACTGTGATTACTCTGAGCCCAGGTGTGCCTATGTCTTCATATGTATATCTATACACATGTCTTTCTCTGTGTCTCACTACTTGAGTGTAGGTTTTCCCTTACTGTTATGCATCTCTTCTGCTTGTGTTTCTTTCTTTGAGTGTCCCTCTCTTTATGCATCCCTCTCCAAGTTATTCTCTCAGTCTTCATGACTTGTGTGTCTACGTTTCTTTCTCTCCCTTGTGTCTGGCCCTTCTTTTTCTCTCAATAGCTCTTCCTCTGTATGTGTCTCTTTCTCTGCATGTGCCTGTCTTTGTGTGTCAGTCTTTGTGTCCCTTTTGCAGTATATGGGTCTCTTTATGTGTGCCTCCTCCTTTGTGTGTGTGGGGGTGCATGTGTGTGTGTATACTTGTCTGCCTCTGTCTGACTGGTTAAAACAAACACACTTCATTCAGTGCCTTGAACTAGCACAACACCTGGGGTTTGGTATTAATACCTTAAAAGTCCTTACCGTTTGACCAGTTCTCCATTTGTACTTCTGTTCTTGTTTGCTCTGGCAATGTCTCTGGTTTTTGCTCCAGAATTTGAAGCTAAAATAAAGCCACCTCTAGATTAATAAACTTAAAACAATATATCAGAACACACTTAAGCCTTACCTTTGTGTAACAGAGAATTTATAGGATAAATGATTTTCTAAAACATTTGTAATGGGACAATTAACTGTGCATTCAACAGATGAAATTAAATCATTTTTCTCAGAAACAGGTTCTTTCCTTTACACTTATATTTCAGTAAATACAGTTCAGGTTAAGCTTTTAGATATTCTTGCTCCTTTGGTTAGAGAATCATTTAATTTATTTAGTTTTTTCCAAATATAACTTCAACTATTTAACAAGAATAAAATTTCTAGTCTATTTGTCATAAACTTTATACCAAAAATTTCAAATTTATTTATTTCAATTTATAATACATATTTTCATATAAAATATGTTCTACTTGTAAAAGTCACTTAAAAATGTTTTTTCAATTAAAAAAAACATAAAGACTATCATTAATTTGTGGAATTATTCATATTTTGCTCTTAAACTTGATTTTGTAATAAACATGACAAAAGCTCTACAAGTTTTTTGTGTGCATGCTGTTAAGGAGAATAAAATTAGATTTACCTCACAGCTAGAACTCTGCATTCTTTAAAAAGTCCTCAAATAAAGCTGGAGTAAGCTTCTCTTTCCAATTTTCTCTAAATATGTTGATCTGGAGTTGGCAATCTTTTTCTAAGTTCCTCATTTACTTTTGGATTAGCTGAAAATATAGGAAGTTATTAATACCAAAGAAATATGTTCCAGTCAATGAAACCATTTCCCTACATATTGCCCAAAAAGGTTAATAATAATTGCAGTCTTTTAATAAGAGATTCATATAGCAAGACATGTAGAAAATACAGTCTTTAATAACCTCTGGAGTATTTTAAAACATGTCTTACAGGCCTTAATGTGCTTAGTAATATACTATTTAAAACCATAAATTTATCCCTCTGTAATATACAGTCACTCTTCCTCATCATTTTCCCAGTTAATGAATGCCAGCAATTAGTAAAATGTAATCCCATTGCACAATCATTTTAATGCTTTTAGCACTCAGAAAAGTAAACACCAAATTAATACTGCTCAAGCCATATCAGATCCTAGTTGGAAGCAAGCAATTATAGTTCAGCTCCTCAGGTGTAATTAAATGATTGGAATGATTTAGTTCCATAAATGCAAGTTAATTCATAAGCAAGCAACAAATATACTGGGAGTAATTACAAGAAACATTGACAGTCTAAGCAGGACTAATTCTTTCGTGATGCTGACATAGTAAAATGCTGCCCTCTGCTGGGCATATATTAAAATGAATGAATATGTCAGATCTAAAAACAAAACCATCCCCATCTAAAAACTAACTTTTAAAAAGCCACTAGAAAAAAATCATAATAGCCAATATAGCAATATGATTTTACATTTTATACAAAAATTTTAATGTATGCATTATATTGTGGTAATTTCTACACACCCTGATAATCAATGCTTTTTCCAATCAAACTCTGAATGTGAGTTCCCAATCATACTAGGCTACACCTACATGTCTAGTGAAACTAAATCATTCATTGTAACTTTGACAGATTGCAAGTAAACTTCTAGTACCCATCTGGACTGCCAGGCCAATGACTATATCCTCTTACAGGTGAACCCTAAGTGGACTGTTACAGGAAATAACTATGCTTTTATAAATACTAAAATTCACTCACACACAAAAAAAAAAAATCTCTGGAAAGTATTAAATAAAATATTCATTATTCTGACTATACATAATAATCTAAAATTTTAATGAACTTAAATTAAAAAAATAAAAACTATAACACTGGCATAATGTCATTATAAGCATATTTAAAAACATAAATAATAGGTAGTTTAAAAAATAAAATGCATCTCAGTTTTACTTAAGCCATCCCTAACTTTTTACTTTCTCAGGCTAAAATATAGAACAAATTTACTTGTACCCAACTCAGATGATTCTTAACTAAACTTCTCACTCTGAAATTCAAAAAGTTTTTATTATACATTTATGTTATAATCAATAAGTCTGTGTTAACAAATGTATTTGAAGCACTAAATCCAAATCAGAATCACCCTAAGACTTTCTGCAAAAGTGAACATATTCTCAAATATTACCAATAATACAGCCAATGTTTAAGTCTCCAATAAATGTAAATGATACTTGCAGAGAATGATGTTTTAACATCACCAATATTTGGGGGTAAGACTCCATTATTGCCCTTCTAATATGCTTTCAAACGCACTATAATAACCATATTCTAAGTCATAGCCTATGCGAACTATACAAATAAATCAAAATATTAAAAAGTCCTACCACTAAGTTTAAAATGTACAGCACATTTGCCTTGCCCTTGATGTCACAGTCTTATTTTTCAATTCATATCCTGTACACTGTAAGTTAATTGCTTTTGGAAAGTACTTATTATTCATGTAAAAATTAATGTGCCAATGTGTTTAAATCCTCTTAAATGACCATTCGTGCATCTTTCTTCTTTAAGTACCAATGAAATCTGTCAAAAGACATCAATGTAAAATTATCACAAAGAAAGTTCTAATAGAGTTTTTTTTTTGTGCTAACACAAGATTTTCATATTCACTAACTTTACTTAAATTCCATTAATTTTTTAAGATACTTTTAATAAATTCGCCAAGTAAAATTTTTAGGCCCCATAGTCTGTCATTTGTGTTCCAGCTGACATTATGAATATTAATAACAGTGTTATCCTGATTAAATAGGCTTCATATGAAATCCTTGTGAATCCTATAGCTCAGACATCTCATTTTTCCAACTCTTTATGAATTTGGATTCTAACATTAAACTGGAAAAATCTTAAAAAACAGATTTAACCATACATTTGCATAATGACAAGCAAAAATTAGATGTTCTAAGTAAGCAAGTTAATTACAATTTATGTATCTACATACTGTAATAGGAATAAAAGATTTTTGTAAATATGCAACATCTTTTACACTTCTATTCATTTCAGGACAAAGGATTAAGGCTAATAAAATACTAATTTGTTTTCTTAAACTCACCTTAAAGATTTTATATCAAAAAGTTGTTTTGATCAAAAATTACATATTCACGTTAAAACTAGTGGGATGATTTTATACTAGAGATCCGATCACAGATAAAATAGAAGTTAATTACCTTACCATTATTAAATGTATACCAGGTACAAGTAGCAAAATAAAACTGATTTCCCACTGAAACTTATTTATAAGTTGTGCTGAAAAAAAATTACCCATGTTAAAAAAGAAAAAAATTTTCATCAATAGACAGAACATGCTATATTATTAGCATCTGTTAAATTAAAATCTTCTTTATCACAGATTTCTAACCTCATTCCAAATTATTTTTAATTCTCAAAGGAAGTGAGTCTTGTTATGTAGAAGAAAGAAAAAATAATAAAGGAAGCTGCATACTCCCTTATTTCTATAGGTACATGGGAATCTGACTATAACCTGCCAAAAATTTCATAACTTTACCGTATCAAAAAATGTAGATTGCAAATTTTTAAACAAGCCCTCTATGCAAATGTGACTGGTCTCTCCTATCTTACTCAGCAGTCAAATACCAGTGAAACAAATTGTGTTCTTTAACCAGTCTAAAATTTTTAACCTGCCTAAAAAATTATAGGTGGTTCTGACATTTACCTTATAAAATGAAATGTCTTTCTGATATTAAGGCATTCAGAAAAGGGCTTTCATTCCCCAATGTAACAATGCCCAGGATTTTTATAAACTTATTTTAAATATGAGTTGCCAGTACTACTTTCCTCCACGAAAGCCACATTATAGCAAAGGTTTTGGCTGACTCTGATTAATGACATTTTTTTTAATGCCTCTTTATTTTAATCACATATTGTGTAAACTGAATCCAATAGTACTGAATTAGGAATCACTTGTAATATGGCCTCATATCTAACTATAAAAAAACCCCCAAATTTTGTTTTCATAGATTGAGAAATGTTGACAATTTCTGCATTGAAATGATTTCATTAATAGGCCAAAGGAGAGCCAAATATTTTATCACAAAACTCAGCATGTACAACATATGAATATGCTCTATTGCTAGATCTACATCTTAATAGACAAAAGTCTCTGAAACAATCAGAGTCTCTGTCACATCTCTCCCCAACAGAATTTCACTCACCGAACCTCACATCCCAGCCCACTCCCTCCCTACCAAGCTCCAGACAACCCAAGAATCCCAGAGCCAAGGGAAGCAAGAAGAAGTTCTGGGGAGAAAGAATAAAAATGAAAGTGGCCCTGCCAAAACCGGTTTGGCTCAGTGGTGGAGCGTTGGTCTGCAGACTGAAAGGTCCCAGGTTCGATTCCGGTCAAGGGCATGCACATTGGTTGCGGACACATCCCTGGTGGGGAGTATGCAGGAGGCAGCTGGTCAATGTTTCTCTCTGATGGACGTTTCTAGCTCTTTATCTCTCTCCCTTCTTCTCTGTAAAAAATCAATAAAATATATTTAAAAAAAGAAAAAGAAAAAAGAAAGTGGCCCCACACCTCAACTCTCGAAATGTAAAACTGAAGATACTATTTGGCCCCCTCACTTCCACTCCTAACCGTATTTAGAAAAATGTGTAAAGCACTTAACATATATTAAAGCAGTTATTTACATGAGAGAAACTACTCATGCTCTAAGTCACACTGTACTTTTTTCTGTTCACTGAACTCACCAAGTTGTTCTTCCCTCAGGACGTTTATATTTATTGTATCTCCTCTGCCCAGAACCCTCTTTTCTAGATTTCTAGACCATTTTTCTAATTTTAGGCACAGCTCAAAAGTCAACTCTTCAAAAACGTTTTGCCTGGTCACCCTATTAAAGTAGAAACATAACATTATCTATGCTACTGCCTTCAGGGAACTAATTTGTTTGGGGTTTATTTCAATGTATTTTATACTACTCAGTATGTGTGTATTGGGTAGACAGGTAGATGGACGGATGGACAGATGACTAGCAGGAAAACAGACCTAAGATAAGTAAACGTTTATCAATAGAATACTGGTAGCCCTTACCGGGTGGCTCAGTCGGTTGGGGGGATTAAGGGTTCGATCCCTGTCTGGGAGCTTATGAGAGGCAACAGATCAATGTTTCTCTCTCACATTGATGTTTCTCGCTCTCTAAAATTAATTAAAAGATATCTTCAGGTGAGGATGAAAAGGAAAACGGTAACATAAGTAAAAAGGCTAAGAAATATGCACTGTGGAGAAACCAAAATGGCGACATAGATAAACACCTGAACTTGCTGCCTCGCATAACAACTTCAAAACTACAACTAGAAGACAAAATAGATATCATCCAGAACCACAGGAAGGGCGGCTAAGTAGAAATTCTACAACTAGAAGGGAAGAGAAAAGCACACTGAGACTCAGAGGAGCTGCAGAAGTAAAGAGGTATGGAGGTGCAAGCAAGGAGAGGACTGGCAACTGAGTACACAGCTGGCTCTTTCAATCCAGAGGAAGACACAAGCTCCCAACTCCTCTGAACTCCAGTTCTGGGTGAAACTCTGGGGACCCAGGCTCAAATGAGGAGAAACTGGAATATCTGGCAGCGGGAACAGAACTCGATGGCGGCTTTGTCTCAGAGGTGCTTACAGCGATTACCAAGGGACAATGAGACCTGGGGCCTCTTAGGGCAGGACTAATGAGAAGCCATTGCTATTTGCTCCACCCTGAGACTTCACACCA